GAAAGTTCTTCTTCCTCTTCTCAGTCCACCATCTCCCTCTTACCCTCTCGCTACCTGACTTCACTGCATCAGCAGACTATGAAAGAGCGGGCTTGGTGACATTTGGATCCAGACTCCACATTGGGCTTGAGACATTTTGACGAGGGATTATTTGGGACTTGTAACAAAGACTTGGTGTTGACGACATTCCCATCTCTCCCCCGATTCTTCGTCTGTTCCCCTCCTCTTCGTCTGTGCATGATTTGGACCTGGCACATTCTTCCTGTGTGTAGCGCCAGGCCCCTTCACACCTTGTGACGAGGATGATGTATGTTTGGTCCGCGTTGCAACATTGATTGGGCTAGTCATTGGTATTCTAGCATTCTGCTGCGTGGTCTTGCACTACGTGATAGAGGTCAGTCCCGGTCAGGTCAGGACTTGTATCTAAGCCTTCCCCTGCGCTATAAAGCACCATTTTTGTGTGTATCCGAATGTACACTGCTTGTTGAGATTTCACTTGCACTGCATTGTCCATTCAGTCCTTTTCATGACATTGCGGATCCTCGGTTTTATATGTACATCGCCCAACTGGGCATGTAACAGGGGGGGAGGAGAACGAGGAGGAGCATCAGAAGATGAAGAAAAAAGGAACTCCATGGCTGCCTAGAAGGAGTAATGCCTATGGCTGCATGGCAGGGGGGTGGGCGCCAAGGAGGAGGAGGAGGATAAGAAGAAGCAAGAAAGACGGGGGGAGGGGGGGGGGGGGGGGGGGGGAGGAGGAGGGGGACAACTAGGTGGAGAAGAATAAGAGTAAGAAGTTCCAGAATGAATAAATAAATGACGGGCCAGTAACGCCTATGGCTGCCTGGTGGGGGGGTGGGCGCCAAGGAGGAGGAGGAGGATAAGAAGAAGCAAGAAAGATGGGGGGAAGTACGATGGGGATGGCGTTGACGGGCGAGGAACGATGGGGGGTGGGGTCGATGGGGGAGAACAGAGGGCGATGTGGGAGTCCAATGGAAGAGGGGAGGCGGACGGGCAGAGAGTGGAATGGGATGGAAGGGGCAGGCAGATTGGCCGGGGGGACGGGTAACGACGGGTGTTATTGGCTGGTGGACACTGAGTTTCTGCAAACTTTCTTTGTTGGGGGGTGGGGAGGGAGGAGGAAGACAAGAGGACAGCAAATTTTCTCTCTTTTTTGCTGCTCTAGGTTGCGGAGCTTATTTATTAGCAGATGATAAAGAATAAGACGTAGGAGAAAAGAACAGATGTCCTCCTGGACATCTGTTAATATTGGAAGGATACAGAGAAGATTAGCGTGAAAAAAAAAAGAAAAGAAAAAAGGAAAAAGAAGAAGAAGAAGAGGGTGGAGGGTTGCGGGGAAGCATTTTCACAAACTATTCTCTCTCTCTCTCTCTCTCTCTCTCTCTCTCTCTCGCTGTTTCTCTCATTTCAAGAAGAAGAGCTGGTGGGCATTATCGAACGATGATTCATGGCGGAGAGCAGTACGATGGAAAACTATCACGTGCGGTTTGGAGGGCGGGAAAATAAACATGTCTATGTATGATGAGTAGATTTATTGTGTGGGGCTGAAGATTGGTCAATCAGCAGGCTTGCCATAGTTTACAATGATGACTCACTGTAGTTTAAGTGCTCTCAACCAGTTAAAACTTAAAACTTATAAGCAATGTTTGATCAGCAGAAAACCAGAAAAAGGTATGGCTGCTATCGCAAGCCAGCGACCAAGCTGTTTGGGATCCTCATAGACTTTACGCAGGGCATCTCAGTTGCTTCACTAATGTGATAGAAAGAATACAGCAAGCCACTCACTTCGCATGTACTTCCAATTCTAATTGTTTTGCTGGGTCGATTGATGCTGAGGCTTTCTCATAATCGGTTGTAATTGTTTTGAAAATTCACCAGCCTTGTTTGTTTCTTTTTGAGACTTGCTGTTTTTTTTTTTCCATTTTTTTTTTTTGATTAGTTATTTTTGCAAGGAATATGAGTGTGAACGATATACAGAAAACCAAGTTGCGAAATCACACAGATGTCTGAGTAGGCGTGTACAAGCAGAGAACACAATTGCACCGAGAATCCGTCCAAATAGAGCAATACAATGAAGTAATGAGCCAATGTTCAAGCCCGTAGGCCACACCAACACAGTATCCAAAGTCGCTCCTCTCTGTCTGGCGCCCAGCGCCCAGCCTACTCTACTCTACTATCCTACCTACAGCTGTGTTCACGCAATAGGCTCACTTCAACTCTCGAAGACCAATGTACATGATGTCAAGACCATAGCCGACCTCTCTTCATGCACCAGGTACGTATCTCGTCACCGTCATCAGACCTTGATACCCCACACTCGCCTCCGTCCTTGAAGACCACCAGAACGCGCGCATTACCCCCTTGTGCCCAGCAGCCCGGCTATGGCTGCCCGTGCACCGCTGCCCTGCAGCGCCCCACTTCACCTCTATGCGCCCCGTCAGCGCCCTTGGCCGCAGCACAGCATCAAGCAGTAGCGCAGCAGCACTTCTGCATTGCCTACGCAGGCCAGAATATCTGGCCTGGGCTGCCTCACTTCCTATATGGAAGTGGCAGCCTTCTGGATGCTGCGTGTGGTCTGGCTGTAAGCTTCCAGTAGCTTCCGGTTGGGCCTCAGTCCCTGCACCCGGGCCCGAGGCTACAGTTGAGGGCCTGGGCCCTTTACAGTTGGGCACGGCCTGAGTCTCCAGACTTGGGCTGCTTGCTGTATTAGTGCAGGGCCCCGGGGTAGGTGCGTCGACAGTACTGCTTTTGCATAAGCCGCTGGCCGCTTCACAATGTATCGGGCCTGGTTTGTGTATATGTGCCCAGGCGCAACTGCCAAGGCCTGGGCCAACTGTACGACACAGCTTATGAGGCTCACGCGTCCACTCAACCAACTGACGTGCTGCAAGAGCCTGAATACCCACATATGAAAATGTTGAATTTTGGCCTCTGACGAATATTCAGGCCCGCCTTCACTTAGGGCGGGCACTCGGCTTGCTGGGGCCTTTGCCCAGAACATGTGATGTCTGATAGGGCTCTGTGACGGATCGTCCCTCGCATTTTGTTTGCCAAACATTTTTGAAGATTGGTCAACAAATTTTAATATTTGATCGGCATATTTTCAATGTTTCAAATCAAAAGCAATTGCAGATCACGGCTCACACACATGTGCGTTCCCTGCACGTTTTTGTTTTATTAATCAAATTTACTTGTAATTTAGTTTATTATTTTCCCCTGTTATGTTGAAGTGCAAATTGCAAAACTTAAAATTTGAAGCTTTATTATTTCGAAGTTCCAGAGGAGGAGGAGGAGAAGTAGGTGGAGATGAAGTTCCATAATAACTAACTAAATAAATAATGGGCCAGTAACGCCTATGGCTGGCTTGTG